TTCTTTAACCGAACGTGAAATTTCAACCTCAAATGCAAATGCAATTATAATGAAATTGTTTTCGTGCGAATCCACTGTGACTTTATGAGACCTCAGGAAGAACAGCAGGATGCCATTTCGCCGCGTCGAACACGTGTGCAATTGTGCTGTCCTCATTGGATTAGCATGTCGCAAGACGAATTTACAAACTGTTGACATTCACCCACTTCCCAGGTTTGTCTAATTGTGAAGGTTATTTAAGTAGTATATTCAGCCAACTCGTGCATTAAGAAATGTGACGTCTGAGAGCTGGATCTGACCACCTGGAGTGCACTTGTCTAGTCTTAAAACCGATCGATATTACTCTTGAAAAGGACCATTTCAGGAGGCGACCAATTGAGACGGGTGGGAGTTGAAGATGTGTGGATAACTTACTTGCTATAATCTTCCTTTATATACATCTACATGTGTTTTCCAAATACGCAAATAAACGTACTTGGCCCCTTGATCATTATGTCCGGCTGGACATGTTTGGTAAGTTGAATTTTAAATAATCGCCTCTTTAAAACGTCTTAGTGAGGTGATTAAACTTGTACGTTGAGAAATTTAGAACAGCACAAAATCAAGCCGATTTAGTGTGAATATAGCACGAGCTCAATTTGATCCATGGAGTCTTCGTAATGGAGTTTGCTGCAATTAAACACCTCGAAAATCGATATGTGCTTGGTGTTTAAAGGTGCCGCCAAATATTATCGAATAAATTAAAACAATTATGAGGAGTATTGAGTAGTGATATATGCACAGCCATTCGATATCATCTGTTTATTCGAACTACGCAAACGACGCTTGTAGCAGACATAATCGACATCTGCCAACCTGTCAATAAGTTCAAAATTCCAATTTAACAAAACCTAGTTTAAATCGATCGGAATTCCCAGAAAGCACCACTTGTGGTAAACTGGATCAACACTGAGGGGAAACCAAATACCTGCTCAGGGTAACCATGACCTTGAAAGGCTGAGCCGTTCTATTATGTCTTGAAATTAATGAAAATGGGAAAAAAAGGTAGCGACCTGTGCTCTGCCAAGACTCCACGCAAGATTGCCTCGTCCATTTAAGGGGTGAACTGCTAGCTAGTGCATAACTCACTATCTTGATTTTAGAGTATCTTGCTTACTTACAACAGGGGCAACTTCGAATAACATTCGCATTTAATAAATATACCTTTCTGCTTAACTTCAATTAAGTGTAGTGCCATATTTTCCTACATCCTTCTGTTGTTTCAAATTGAATTTTAAAAATAGCGGTAATTTTGTTGAAACTGCAATCAAAATTTGTTTTAGTGCTGCAGAAATCATAGTCAGTCCGAATTTACGTCGCGGCATCCTCGAATTAAGACGACAGGTAGCGGGAAAAATAAATCGATAAACGCGTTAAACCAATCATCGTTATTGTGAGCTGACGTGAATAATGTTCAGTAGGGCGTAGTTTTACGAAGGTTTTGATCATTAAAACGACATTTTTGGTAAAAAAAAATAAACAAAACAATTCTAGTGAGGTCTTCTCTTAATCCATGTACCCTTTTTAGCCTACCTGCATAACCGAAATCGTTACTTACCACCTTGCCTGTTATCGTTGATTAAAAAAAGTGACATTTTAGCCATTCTGGTATTTCCTTTCACCCTCAATTTGCTTTCACAGTTAGTTAAAGAATGCAAACCGCCGAACCAGCATGACCATCGGTTTTTTTAATTCTGCATTCTCTGAATTCATCAGTGAGGCGTAACAGATACATGAAACAACCCATGTTACCCACTGGTAAATCCCAGACAGTGTTAAATCCTTCTCCTGACCACGTTTAACGCTTAATTTCTCAACAGAACACACCAGAAGGGAACCAGTTTTTCCCCAAAGTTGGTGGTTATTACCGAATGGTCTACACTTCATTTCGTCATTAAATTACTCACCTCACAGAATTTCGTATAAGAAGTAGTCTTGCTTGCGATAAAAATACTCGCCAATAGGCAAGACACTAGAAGAACACATGACTCCACTCCAACTCCCTTATAATAACTGCTGTCTTGTTATTCAGTTTAACGCGGTTTCAAGTTTTGTAAAATGCGGTTTTTTTTACTGTGAAATCGATAGGAACATTGAAGTGCCTCACTTCTCGCTGCCACTAGAATTACACACCTATCGAAACCCTAAACATGGCATAATTTTTTTAGACAACATAATTTACCCATTAATTAAGAGTCTTTTGTGGACAGAAGTCTATTTTTCCTTTTTAAAACTCGTAATTTCAAGAAATTTCTAACATTATTAAGACTTTGTCAGTAGGAATGATGGTAGAATACCTGATTTCCCATTGTAGTTGGCGTGCCTTTTCCACAATTTAAAAAGTCTAAAAAACCAGAATATTTAATCGGATTATGCACAATTTATGGTATCACCGGTTTTTTCAGTTTAAATTAAATTTTTGTAAAACAAAATCTTAAAACGGGAGTGAGGGATTTGATATCAAATGCGCTAAGGCAATTATAAGATACCATTAACACGTATCCTTCATGCATCTTCGCTGACTAATTAATGTAAAATTATCGATATTTGCAACTCACATTGTAAAAGATGCTGAAATTCTTCAGATTTAAAAAATAATCCCATTTTTATTGTGGAAAATTAGTGAGAAGTATTAGCACTGAAAAACTGCCTATGCTCTAAACCCCAGTACTTGCTCACCGAAGCGTCTTTTCAAAAATACGAACTGACCAATCACAGGCAGTGGGGAAACGAACGCCAATGAATAGCCAAACTTTTAAATCGGACTATTCGAATAGCCAGGTACAACGATGTAGCGGATTATGCCAAAATTAGACTATTGTTGAGCCACACATGCAGGCTTCTAGAAGCTAAAATGATTTGTTTTGTTGGTTGGCTTCTGAAAAAGGCCTGCGTCAGTTGTCAATTCCCACAGCCGATCTCATTTAAGCCTCAGAAATATTTGTATCATGAACAACAACGGTGATATTGTGCTGCTAATCATGCAGTAAACACGGCTACATATGACGACTTCGGGAACTATCATTGAGGTCTCTGTTGTAAACAAATTGGCAAAAAAAGTTCCTTTTCACCTCTAAATGAGTGATTTACTAAGCAGTCATAACTACTTCAGCCTGTTTGGTTTCATATTTTATTGCACATTTACAATCAATTTCTGAAATGACACACATATAGTAAAATTTCACTATCACTAAGTGTATACGGTTCTATCTTGGACTACGCTTCAAGCTTGAGTGGCGTAGACTGATAATATTGTACAGTAAAAAGTAATTTCGGTGACTTTTCATCGAAATTTACAGACGTTGGCAAGTGGTCATTGTTTGCCAAAAAATCAGGTGCCTTCTGTGCTTTTCATCGTATTTGATCATTTTCATACGGGTTTAATTGCGAAAAAATTGGATGGAACCACAAAATGCCTCAACTAATTACCTATATAAGATCGTGCCATGATATTATACAAGATGCTAATGAGGCACCCTAAATGTTTTTTTTTCAAAAAAAATGCAAAAAAATTGAGCAAATTTCCATTGGTTACACCTAATAATCGATATTGATTATGCAAATGCCCAATGGGTGCGTGAGGCTCTACGATAGCGAATGCTCTGATTCAATTGACTTAGAATTCAGAGATAAAAACAACCCATGGAATGCGATTTGGTTTAGCCAAATAGCCATGATTTAAGTGCAGCAGCCCCTAAGATGTGACAAAATGCAATCACAAACACGCGCCCCCATGAGCTAACGCAAAAGGGTTTGGAGCCTGTTAACCACGTGTTGCTAAGTGCGTTCCTTGGTACTCGGTTAAGGCATGCGTTTTTAATTAAGGAAGTTGTTTTTCTAGTCCCTAACTAAAACAATGCATACATTTTGTCTAATCGTTTCATATTTTCGATTTCTCATCACATTTTTGCTATTAGCACAATCGAACGGTTATGCAATTGACAATTTGTTCCCAAATATTTCAATGTGATGCCTTGAAAGATTTGTCAGAATATTGTGGAGTACTTTGTGGCTTGACTTATTGTGGCCCATGTGTAAATTTTTTTGCAAAACCTTTTTTAACTTCATGTTGCTTTAAAATTTGTAACCGAGCAATCGAAAATCATTTAACATTATTCATACTCTATTTACCATGAGTTTTAATTCAATGTGCCTCACTGTATAATTGTCGCACCAACATATGTTAAGACAACCCCATTAAAAAGATTTTGGTGTCAGTATAGATGACAAATCAGGTACTATGTTTTACTTCGCAAAATCTGTCTATTACATGAAATATGGTGGTAAATAAAAAACCGAGCCTCCAAATCCATCCCATTATGAAATTCTTTCCTTCCTTTCATTCCATCAAACGTCAATTATCAAGCAATACTACGCAAAATTCAAATGTATTTCGTTATGGTTTGGTGTTTTAGAATAGCGAATTCCAATATTTACTCCGTAAAATATAGACCACGTTTTGTTATGTAAAACATGCTAAAAAGCTAAAAATTTTGATGTACAGACATACCGGCACCAAATAGATACAGCTAAATAAAGTTAATTTAAATATTTCTGTAGTAAAAACATGTATTATAAGGTCTGCATAATTTTATTTAATTTGTCTTCCTTCAATGCTTTGAAAATAATGTGAATACTTGTGCATTCATGTCTTGGAAACGCTCGCTTCGCCTTTGGTGATTGGCTCCCATAACGCCCAATTGCAACTCGCACTTAACCAATGAGATTATGTGTTTTCGTCATGCGCTATCCCGTAAATAGTTTTCGTCTTTTCGTTCTGTTATATAAGTGTATACTGTTACTGGTTAATAAAGAAATAACTCCTCGGGTTGAGGATATTACGCTGAAAAACCAGGTTTGGGGGATAATTCCTGATGATTTTTGATGCCCCAAATTCATCTTCTCTATCAGCTAACAATAAGACTTCACTGGAGTCGGTCGAGCCACTTGTGTACCCAAATATGTATAAACCAAAGGATACTGAAATTCCAATGAGTGCATCAGTTTCTCAGCAAAATTCAGGACAACACCAAAAAGTTGGGACGTACATAATCGAGAAGACAATCGGAAAAGGCAACTTTTCGTTTGTGAAACTTGCTCGTCATACAGTGACCAACGTCAAGGTATTTGGCATATTTTCTTTTTCTTCACGTATGACTAGGTTGCCATAAAAATTATTGACAAGACAAAATTAAGTGAAGAAAATTTGCGGAAAGCCCAGCGGGAAGCCGATATCTTAAAATCTCTTCATCACCCCAATATTATCAAATTATACCAAGTGATGGAATCGGAGAAACTTTTATGCATTGTCACGGAGTATCTTCCCAACGGTGAACTTTATGGTACGTTGTCTTTTTCAGTTGCACCCATATTTTCCTGGAACTTGTTCAATTTAACCGCTTTTCATGCCATCAACTTATTGCTTGGCGTCTTATGCACACCGCCTTAATTGTAACCGAAATCAAAGAATCTATTTTTATCTGTCAAGCATGGTAAATAAAGTATCAAAATGCAGTTTTGTTTTCCGTATTCGCTACTCTAGTCAGATACGTTTCTGGTGTTGTTGTTGTTTAACATTATGAATCTCTAGTAACCTAGTTCGTTTTAATCTCTGTTGTTGACGTAAAATCATGGTTTTTTGAACATTGGATGGCTGTTTTTATTATTTTTATCCTTGTTCAGGTCATCGAACGTAATGATTTTATGACGAGACCCAAAAAGTATTTATACTCTTGGTTTTACTCCCTTTGTTTTAAGATAAAGCTAATTGTTTTCAGTGTAGTGTTGAAAAGCTTGATCTCTATGAAAATTTAATCTTTCCAAAACAATTTAAAGTGTACAGATCTTTGCTTCTGACAAGCGTATTTTGATTTTAACTTTTCTTTTTCCTGTAAGGAAATCGCATCCTTTTCCCAGTCCACGAACTATGCAACTCTAGACGTCCTCCCTTTCTATGCACATTTAGTTAGGGGAGAATCTGCTGTGCTTTCAATTAATAAGCGATTTTTTTGGAGAAGTTAAACCCTGTTTTTGCATGCGGAATTTTTTTCGCGTTTTCTTCCCACCAGGCATGTGTTGCCGACGTTCCTGTGATTACTTGTAGTCGAGTCGCGCATTACCACTAGTGCCTTGACAGTTCCCATGGCAAGCACTACAACAGCAGTCTCTTTATTCAGAAAATTTGGTCTAAATTAACTCATATTAAAGCAGCCCCTAGATATACTATTTGTGTTCAAATTGTGCCGAGTTATTGCTATAGAAGTTAATTACCCCACAATAACATCCCATAGAAATCGCTTGTACATTTAGCGCACATTTTTTTTAAGTAGTGGAAGCGGATAGTGGCTAAACCGACGCCGTAAATTTTTTTGAATGCAAAGATCGTTGACAAAGACGTAAAAAACGCAATTCTCCCTATTCGCTTGTTCACAAATGGGACCCCTGGTGATTGCAAGTCTAAAGTTGGTCAGCGTTCGTTACTCGAGCAGGCATTCTCCCACAGGCTATGCCTTTTTCTCCTCTACCGTACTTCTTTTGCTAATTTTTCACTGGGGTGCCTCACAATATCACGGTAATTTTGCTGCTTGCCGTATTCCGCTGGGAAATTGGTTGGTAAATCACAACGAGGGCTCCTCAAATCGCTTGACTCAAGATATTTACGGACGCCAGCTAATTCTAACAAAAGCTTGTGTGTGTATGTGTGCAGTGGTTCCTCTTAATGTGGCACTTCGAAAAGCTGTCGAGGTTCTGGATGTCCAAAGTCGCGTGCTGAACAGCCGAGTCTGCGTACCCCTCTAGTCTGGCTGTTGATCTCCAGGGTCACCTGAAAACAGCGGAAAAAAACCCTGTAGTTCCAGCCGAAATTCCGAGGTAAACTCTGCGAGCCTTTTACCCTGTGGATTGACACGAAAACCTCGTTAATAGAGCCTGTTTACTTTTTAACACTTCTGATCATCTGACGTCAAAAATAAGCCTTTTTTAATGATAAGCGTCAATTCCGCATAATTACTTTCGTTTAACAGCCGGTTGACGTGTGTGTGCGCGTGTGTTTGTGGCGTCATTGTTTGCCGCTTGCTTAAAAAAGAACCCTCTCAAAATCTAGTGGCTAGCCCACACGTAGATTGTGGCATTATGTCGTCGGTGTGTTGCTGACGTAGCCCTTGCGCCTGTGAAAACGTAATGCCATCTACCTCAGTCACGGTGATTGCCGCGGAGTTGCATTCAGCCCTCTGTCCACTCTCGCAAAATCGTGTTTCCGCCGTGGCATTGAACGGGTTTGAACCTCGTCCAAACTAGGGTCACAGTTGGGACTCCATGACTGCCCACTGCGTTGAACGGTTCCTCTTTCGAAACGTAATCCGTCATCTGACATTGGTGCTCATTCTTATCCTAGACAGGCACTAGGAGATTACTGCTACTACCGCTACTACTGCATTATTTCTTTTTTTTCAGAATACATCGCGAACAACGGTTGTTTGAGTGAATTGGTCGCCCGGCACAAATTCCTCGAGATCTTGGCAGCCGTTGAGCACTGCCACAACAACAATGTCGTCCACAGAGACTTGAAGGCAGAGAATATGCTGCTTGATCAGCACATGTCCATCAAGTTGGCTGGTAAGTGTCCCGCCACCTCCACGCTCGCATGGAGTCTAATTTTTTTGCCCTCTTTTTCGCGCAAATCTTCAGTGTTCAAACCACAACCCCCGGGGAAGCGATGGGTTCATTCCCGTTCCTGTGTTTCCCATCCCCGACACCCTACGTCTGACGTCTCAACCTCACGCTCTCCTGCCAGGCGTAAAGCGAGCGTGTTTGTTAAAATTGCCCTGACTGCGGATTTAGGCGCGCTCTGCCCGCGTGTGAGGTGTTCTTGGCTCGTTCGTTTGGGTCATTTTCGCTCTGTTTGGGTTTTTTATTGGCTGATTCAAGGCCAACACATGGCTTGTTTACGCGTCCTTTCGTGACGCATTTACGCGTCCGGCATCGTTTTTGGACAAAAAGCCAACACCGAGGGGCAATAGCGCACGCGTTTTCGTGCTGACATCGTCCATAACCACCGCAACCAACTGTCACCTCCTACAGCGCCGCAAAAATGCGATTTAGCTTGCTGAAAAGTTCTCGCATGTTGTCCTGGTACCCTACCGATTCTATGAGTGTTTTGTATTCTCAGCACCTATGTACTCCTGAAATGCTTTAGGATTGATTTTATCACCTTTTGGTAGGCGGCAGCTGTAAAATAACCAATTTTTCACTCGGTGTCGTTGTTGTTGCGACCAGCCCCTAATTGAAGCAACTCATTTTCACAAGAGATTGACCACTACGCTCGACCCTAGGTTAAGCAGCCGAGTCTTGATGCCGTCAAAGCGTAGCCAGTCTCTGGAGATCAGCTAGTGGTCACATTAAGGTTAAAAGCCATCTCCTCGTCGTCTTCTGGACTGCAAATGTCGCCTGCTGTGCGATATCTGGTAGCTAACAATACTGCTTCTGAGGGCGCATGTTCTATTGTGAGTCTTGGCGTCGTTCGGATGCTTCCTGTGTTGGTAAAAACACTTCTGTTGAATGACTTCCGGGTTCAGTGCAGTAGAGGGAGGAGTTGGTGGTCCTTGGAAGGTTGTAAGCTCGAATCCCAAGACGTTCGCGGTCTCGTGCGGACTTCCGCATTTAAACTGGAATGTGCAATGAAGCCTGTTGACTAGTCATGGGCCTACAACTCCTCTTCCTTTTTTCGCCTTTTTCTCCTAGATTTCGGTTTTGGAACCTTCCAACCGGACGGTCCGAACTCCCTCCTCACCACGTGGTGCGGCAGTCCCCCCTACGCGGCGCCCGAAATCTTCAAGGGCGAGCCCTATCTTGGCACAACTGCTGACATCTGGGTAAGGCTCGCTGTGAGACGAGGCAGCCTTGTTGCATTGGTTGAAATTGTAGTGTGGCGGGGGAGGGGAGGGGAGGGGGGCCACTGCTAGTGTCGATGCGTCACCAGTGTCCGCGCTTGTCCCGCCGAGGCCGCGTGTACGTGGTACATCCTGTTTACGAGGATGCTGCAATTTATGCATCCTGTCTAGAACACACTCGATTACGACATCAATGTCCTGATCACCTAGCCCTCTCTCGTGATCAACCTAGCTAGTAGACCCCACGGGTACATGAAATTCGCCTTTATCTCCGGACTGGGGTTCACGCACGGCAATCTGTCAGGCCTTCTGCTTAAAACCCACCTCCACTATTCGCATTTTTCCCTCCTACTTTTTCAGAGTCTTGGCGTGATCCTCTACGTTCTCGTGTGCGGTGTGCTCCCTTTCAACGCTCAGGAAGTCTCGTGTCTCCGGAGGCAGGTTCTCGAGGAGCACGTTCGAGTTCCCTACTGGCTGTCTATGTGTGAGTCCCCTACTAGAACACACGTAGCAAAGTGCCTTTTATGGCGAGAATCAGCTTCATACTGTGAGTCAGCAGTGAGTCCAGAATTTGAACCGGTTTGCGCTTGAACACGCAAATCCCTGCACCAATCCGCTTCCCGGAAATGTAGCTTGGTTGGGTTTCACATAACACACACACACACACGCACACACAAATTGTGATGTCCTCGTGGTTGCTGCAAACTCTCACGCGTCACGCCACGAAATTGGTTGTTTTGCTTGCTCAGTCAATGCTGAGGTGTTATTGTGTGCGTGTGTGTGTGTGTTACCAACTGCGTGCAGTCCCTATCCGCCTCTTCTGTCAAGGCATGTTCCTGTTTGACCCGAAATCCCGGGCGCATGTGAGGCAATTAGCTCAAATTTAATTGCCATGCAATCGCCAGCCTTCCCAACTAGTCCATTCTGTCACCTCTTTGTCAATTTTTGCGACTTCTTAGCATGTCAGACCAGTGTTTGCAGTGAATTTTAACGCCGTTTTGCGGACCTAGGCCTCGGACCCTCTCGCTGTGTGGGGAGGCTACCACGTTAGCTAGCTTCGGTCGTTTCTAATTTCAGATTTAGCCCCTCGCGTCCCACCTTGTCTCCTGTGACCACAACCACTAGAATCTATCTGGTTGTCGGATTAACACACATCTACTTACTCCTTGTCACACATTTCTTGTTTCACGTCTGTTGTGGAGTGCCTGTAGTAACCTCTCTGTTGATCGTCTCCTATTCCCGAGTATGTTTACCGACGTGTCATACCCAGTTGTTGGTAACCTGACCTACCTGGTGTTATCGAGCTCACGCGCACACGCACACAAGCCTCCATGTACGTTACCTGCACGGCAGAGCCTCCGTCAACGGCACACACTTTAACGAAGCAAAAAGGCGTCTTTTGCAGGCTCCCAGCTAAACTGCCTCAGCTGTAGATTACCCAGAAAATTACGATGCAGTGACGTAAGCCTGCAGTCAATCCGCGTAGCTAGAAAGTGTACTTTTAAGAACCAATTGCCTCCTTCGTCCTCTCGCCCAGTTTGCCAACGTGATTGGCTGATTATGTCTAAACTGCATGTGATATTCAGTGGATTATTGCATTTCCGTTTGGTCGAAATAAGCTAGATCTCATGGCATATGAAGGCGTGATCGTTTGCTGTGCTTACAATCTCATTCTAACTCACTTCCGAATGTGGTTGTACAGCTGTTAACACCCCGGGGCCTAGTTTTAACGCCATTCACCAAATTCGGACACAAAATTTGCTGTCACACACACACAATGTGTCCTATTTTATTTTATTCAGCATGTGAAGACCTCTTGAAGACGATGCTGGCCAAGTCGCCAAGCAAGCGACCAACCATTGCTCAAATCTACCGTTCCAAGTGGCTGTCAGAGATCAGTGACCTTGGTGCGGTGCCCATTCCCCTCGCCCTGGACGAGCCCGACTCCGCCCAGACGGCGCAGCGTGACCAGGTCGGCGCTGCCGCGTCGTCGTCCTCGCCCGCTAGCCTCCCCAGCACCTCGTACTTCCGAGCCCCCCTAGTCTGTCAGGCGACCCCTCCTACCCTCGCCGCGGAAATGAAGGTACAGTCGGGTGTGTGTGTGCGCGCGCGCAATCGATCATCCAGGAGTAGTTGAGCGCTGACACGCGTAGAACCTTGTCTTTTAACAATTGCGCAATCGTCCCCGCCCCCTCCCTTGCTCGACTGGTTGGGTGACGTCATGACCAATGGGGTTCGCGCGTGTCTACACAGCAGTTTGGTTGGTTGAGAGAGACGGGGGGAGGAGGGCTGAAGTGTTCATCCAGCGTTTCACTAAACAACGTCACCACCGCCAGACGTATGTGTGCGCACGTGCGCGCACGTGTGTCTACGTCTTGGCAAAGGCGCTCTCTCGGTCTGCGTAGCCTGACGACGTCTGGCTAGCCAATCACAGTTGTCGCCGTATTTTTTTTACTTCCGTGGGCATTGACAACCCTCGTGCCTTGATTTTCGATCGCAGCGATCACCACGTGAAGTCTTTGCGCCGACTCTCCGCGGCGTGTCTTTGTCTATTTTCACCTGAAAGCATTCAGCCGTATTTCTATTGGTCGGTGGTAATCGTAGGTCAAATCACTTTGGCCAATCGCCAGCCGCGAGCCCAGGAGAGTGTGTTTGCCCCGCTTGGATTGGATTTCCGTTCAGCCTCTCGCACTCCCTTTGCTCAGAATGCACGCAAGTTAGCCACGTCTGCGTTGGGCCGAGAGTGGTGTCCGCTACGTGCGTAATAAGTTCATGCAACACGCTCGTGAATACGCTACGTCATGAACCGAGCGCGCGCACGCGAGCGCTCACGCAATCGCTGGGTTACCGTAATTGGGAGTGCTAGCGCGTTCTCTCTCTCTCTCTCTCGTTTACCCTCTCACTGACGTCAAAGCCTCGTGGATGCGTGTGCGCAATCAACCTCTGCGTACCATCGGTGCTCCATGTACAATCTTGTCTCTACCATCTTTAGGCGCACTTTTGCGTAGTTGCGCTTTATAGCCTTGTGGGCGAAGCCACTTGCCGTAGCAACGATGCGAATTGTGCTGGTTAGTGGAGTTAGCCTTTGTAGTCGTCGCCTTTCATTCGCTGGACTCCAAATTTATGAAATTTGGCTACCAGGACACGGCATTCTTCGGTTGCTGTGTGTGTGTGTGCGAATGCGTGTTCGACAAAACAGGGGGGGTGATGAGTTGGGTACCAACGATGCATTTCTTTCTGAAAAACAGCACTCCAGCCCTCTCCAGTTGCTTCGGCGCGTTTTGTGTTGCGTGTTTTTGGTGAGGCGTTGGCTCTCTCTCGTGGCTGATACCTTGTCAACAGCAACAGTCATTTGCATGTGTGTGTGTGTGTGACGTCTGACGTCGAGCATGTGATGTGCGTCAAGTTCTTTCGCCACTTCTACATTTTCGGTCGGCCATTCACTGTGTTCAGCCAACATTACCAAGAAGCTCGGATCTCAATGTAGACGACGAAAACGCTTGCCAAATTCCACAGAACAACTCCTCGATGTCAAGTCATTTGGCGTCTCTTGAAGGTAGCATCCAGTGGCATCAACATGGGGATCAACCCGTCAAATCTTAACACCACCTAACCGACCAAGGATACATGAATATGGCAATTGTACAGCTTTACCGAAATCCCCACCTCCCTTTCGTCTCACCCATCGTTGTGCAGCGTTGCGTCTTATTTGCGGTCAGTTCTTGATTGGAAAGATGTCCGCCGTTGTGTAGTGCCATCGAGAACAGGCTACGTGCAGAGGTTAGCGAACACCAAGACTTGTGGACCACTGTCATCCCTGAACTTCAGTGCCCGCATTGTCTGCCTTGTTGGCGGCGCACACACCTACGCCACCGAAAACACTCATGACTTCGAGTAGATTGTATTTTTAAAAGCCAAACGTTTTCGAAACGCAGGCAAAATTCAATCTCTCTACGTACAACGTAATAAAAACGAGGTGTCTAGGAGTTGTAGCGCCCATTTCTCTTGTATTGCTGAATTTTGCGTTAGCTGGTTTTCCGCGTGGTGCATTTACTCGATGTCCAAATTGTCACACAAGGCAGGTGTGTGTGTGTGTCTGCGAGGTTATTGTGTGAATTTGTCTCGATCGTTTCACTCGTGCTGGGAATAATGGGGTCTTTCTCGCTGCCATTTCACCCTGGTCACTGTTCCAACCAATCAGCTTCGCCCCAATCACCACCATCATCAGCATCGGCATCTTTGGTGAGTAGTCACGTGTTCGCGCCATGGGGTCGGTACACTTTAGCCCCACGCAAGATCAAACAGTCGTCGTTGCCCGTGGTTACTCAGTTCTGGCAAGCGCAGACCCTGGCGTCTGACGTCACTTGCACACATGTGACGTCGTGTACGTGGCCGTGCGTGCGCCTGCTTACCATAATTGGCACTGCTGCCTGCAGGTGTTCCTTACGCCCGATATGAGTGTATCAGTAGGTGTTCCACGTGTCGAAAACGGTTGCGCTTGTTACCGCAACAGGCACAACAACACTCGTTCCCAGCTCCACCGAAGTAGGCGGTGTTGAGCCAACTGCCCAATCACTGTTTCTGCCTGTTCTGGCGCGATCACTTTGATTCCACGCCCATGGCAGGAGAGGGGTTAGTTTTGATCCATACACACCGCACCACGCCTTGAAAGTGCGCGTACGTAGGCGAGCTTTCGGCCACGTGATGATCTCGGTTCGGAAACACCTACACACACGCACAAACACGCATACTGGCCGACGTGTTTCGGTGTCTTTTTTTACCCGTCTTACTTTCTCTTCTGCCGAAAACATCCACCTACCCACTGTCCTAACTAGAGAGTGCTCTGACTGCCGTTATTCTTGTTACTGGGAGGACTCGCCAATCCCAGTTATTGATTCCCCGTAGAATGAATGCGTTGTTTGGGTGATGGTGGAAACCTCGACGATATACATACAGTGAGGCGCCTCATTTTCCGACTCCCACTTCGAAATCGTCTCAAAGCCGTGTCAGCCAGGAGGGTGTGTGTGTGTGATTCTGTAGTCGGTCACCTGATCACCAACACCACCACCACCATGCGTGTAATCAACCAACCGACTCCGCGGACACAAAACTCACTTCTTGCGTTACAATAAAACCACTAGAATCACTTATCAAATCATTCCGTTTGAATGCCAACGTGTGTGTGTGTGTGCGCGCGTGAAAGGTTCTTAACGCAGACCATTTAATTTTGACTACCTCTGTATTTTCGGCTAGCAGAAACCGTTCGTGACGCCTACTGCTCCTCAGGGGCGCGTACGTCAGGGCGATCCAATCAGATTTTGCTTGTCTTTTAACCTGATATTCTAATGTGTGTGTGTTGTCCGAGGAGTAAATTGGTGACGGGGAAGCCTTGAGCGCGTGCGTTAACCCCTCGCCTCGAGTTTGAGTGCGACGCGTATTTTTTTGTTGCTTACTTCGACTGTCTTGTCGCGATCGCCTCAGAGTGGCTGGCTCGGCGAAAAGTGGGCGCGCGTGGTTGTGCTAGGTGGGGGTGATTGCGCCCACACATCGAGGCCCGCCACCTCGTGTTGAACCCCTTCGTAGCCGGGTAGGCGTCATGGCGACTAGAAGCAGCTTGTAAGTGCACGCGAGATCCTAATGCCCTTCCCTGCCTCTCTTAACTAACAGTTTTTTTCCCTCCAAGGTCGGAAAGTTAGACCAGACTGTCATTCAAATCATGGAAAACTCGGGTATCGATCGAGGACAACTTCTTGAGGTGAGTGACAGTCCCGTTTATTTTTCGATGCTTTGCTTAGCTCATTCAAAGTGGTTGAAAGCAGATTTCACACTGCTTCGTGGGTCAATCGATTAACGAGGTTTTGTGTTAATTGTAGTCTCTGCGCCGCTGTGCTTACGACCACCTGACTGCGACCTACCTGCTTTTGGGTGAGTCACTGCGCACCAATCGTCACTGCCTTTCCCAGACGATGGCTCCGAGTTCCAACGAGATCGAAACCCTGATGCAGGTTCGCCAAGGTCGCGTTCTCCAGCCCTGCGAAGCACAGCCACAGCAACAGTACTCCCGGTCCTCGTGCCCGTCCAGTGGAAGAGCCGTAGACCTCCTCTTCCAGCACCTCTCGCAGCTGCGTCAGCAGGAATTCGACCACCACCTCTACTTCGGCGTCAAAGACACCCCCGGGGTGTCGCCCGCGGTCGCTGCCGCCGCCACTCTCGCGACAGCCGTCAAGCACAACCACCTCCATCACCACCACCACCCACACTCACAGACCACCGCCTTCCCCTCGTCACACCCGCACCCGGGATTTCTGTTCGGACCGACGCTGCCACGTGTCGCCGAGTTCGGCGGTCTCAGACGCACCGACGCGTCCCCCTCGCCGCCCGAATCGCCCATAAACCTGAGCAATCGCAACACCCTCTCGACGTCGAACACTGAGGGCGACTGCTTCGACTGCGACTGGTTCCCCTACCAGTCAGAGGGCATGGGATCGTCCTCACCTGCACCCCCCTCCTCCTCCTCGTTTGGTGGCGACTTGAAACCCAAGGTTGGTTTTGCGTTTCGTGTTGGCCCTCTCTTTCCTTTTCGGTCTCTAGTGTCCTTCTAGTGTGTTTACTCGTTGAAACACCACCTTGTATCCTGCCGCCCGTTTCAGTGTTTTTGAGCAAGTTGTGTTTAATCACTTACAGCGGCATCGCCAGCCAGGTACCTGGTGATTTTCGTCACTGAACTGGGTAAAAATGGCGTGTGCGCCCGGTTAACAGCCTAAATTCCCACACACACCCCCTCCTTTCTCGCTGGAAGCTGTGTACTTGCGTTGGGCAGCAGGGTAGCTGTGTCACAGGGCTTGATGCGTCGGAAATCTGGACTAGGGTGATCTCTTAATTCCCCTCTTGGCTTTTATATGGAGGACACGCGCCACCCCATGTGCCTTAGGAATCTCCACCGGCTTTGCCAGTCTTTCCTGCATCGATCGCTTAGGGTTGTTTTTTTTTAATATCCAATCAACACTTGACTTTTCTTCCCCGAGCAAAATAAATCAATCCCTGTCGTTATGGCTGATCCGCTTGCCCTTTTTTTGAAAAAAATGCGGGTGGTTTTGTGTCAAGATGTGCAAGCAACCTGTTCGATGAAGCAGCATCTGGGAGAATATGGCAGGTACAGCGAGACAAGACTTCGCACTCGAGATCTGTGCTCTCCCATCCACTGTGATCCAATTTATCTGGCTTTTTTTTTAGATTTTTTGAAGCAAACCATGAAAGTTGTTAGCCATTGTGTAAGTGCACCGCAGGCAATTGTGACTTTCTCACAAGTCCTAAGCCCACTAATGTGCCCACCTAATCAGCATCTTGACCACGTGATGGCGGCTGACGGCTGTTCAAATACGAATTTTTACCGTTTTCGGAAGCGTAAGTGTTGCGTAAGAGGCCCGTAGGGTGACTAAGGCGTTATTGTCCATATGTAAAGTGCAAAATATTGTTGTTTTAGCAAACACAGCAAACTGGCCGTTCGCCAGTCGGTCCGCCCTCCCTAACAGTCAACACAGTCGCCGCCGCGAACACCATCTTCCCCTCGATATTCCCGCCGGAGTCCGTTGACCCGTTGTCGGTGATTTACGAGGCGAACGCCTCGCAGCTTGGCGTGCACCGCGTTTCGCACGAGTCGGAGGCCTCCCACGGCGTAGCCGGGCCTCAAATCGCCGCAGCGAGCATCCACCCGCACCGACGGTACAGCGCCACCGGTCCCACCAGACTCCTTCATCTGCCGGCGCAGTTCTCCCACACCACGTGCGAGTCCCAGGCCTATGAGAAGTCGGTCACCGACGAGCACACCAGCGGTCTGGGCAGCTCCGTTGAGGCCGACTCGCACCACTCGAGTTTCTCCCAGCCCGCCACGGCGCCGTCTGTAGCCTTCCAGCCGATGGATTGCGGCTTCGGCGAGGACGCGGGAATCGACATCCCCGTGCGGGCGCCTCGGAAACACATCTCCCCTCACTCCCCCAGTCCGGTTACGCATCATCAGCATCATCCCCCGCCGCCACTCGCCGCCTTGCCGGCCGGCGGACCTCGGCGCAAATTCGGCGTGATCGAACGACCCCCCGCCTTGGCTGTGCAGCTCAGTCTGCTGCAAAACCCCCCGCTGCCCAACCAATCTCATCTAGCTCAGAACATCAATGATCCTCATCAAGCGTATGACATGGACTTTTGAACGCTCCCTGTCCCCCCTCACACACACACACACACACACACACACGCAGACATCCCACTACCAGATTCCTTCAAGCGCTCCTTCGTTTGCGCGCGCGCTTTCCATCGCATCTTCTGCTAATGCACCTGGAACAGATGTAAATATATATATACTTATCTTTTATTCAGGTAAACAGTCGCACAGCGTAACCCTCTCTCTCTAATATGTCAACTGGGTTATTGTCAGCTTAGTTGGAAAGAGGCTTCTGTTTTTTTCTAAACAAGTAACTGTTGTCTTTATTTCCAAAACAGACTTCTTGCAAGTGCTGCGTCGCGGAACCTGTCGATCGTCTCGTCTGTACGCGCACGAGTTGCACAAGTGTTTTGGCTGGGGTGTGTTTGTGTGTGTGTGCGTGTTGCGTATGAAAAAAATAGCCCCAAGACTGTGTACAAGAGAGGCGGTTCAGTCAAAACAAAGTGAGCTGGCGAGGCACGTCAAGTCGTTCACGTCAATTAGCATACTCTGCGAATGTGTCAGTGCGCCCGGGGGTGTAGTCCTTCGTTGCCTTTCAATGGCATCCGGAGGGCTGAGGTCGTGTGCAAGATTTGCCGCGATTGGAGCGTTGTAAATGCACCCGTCTGTTATCGTAGTGTTGACTGATCGTGAATTTTTCTTCACCCAAACACACAAACGAGCTCAAATGGACAGTTGTGTCAGCGTCCTTGTAGTGCACGTAGGTGATTGCCTCGTTGTAGTCTTCGTTCCCCACGTCCGGGAAAGACCGCGTCTATTGCCTCAAGGTCACATGTTATGGTGGCACTGGGATCGATCCATCCACTGATTGGCTGTTGGTGTTCGTTATAAAGTATATGAAAAGCAATGAAAAGTGGATCTATTGACTACTTGAAGAGTTGGCAGGCTAGACTGGCATTATCTCAACAGAATCCAAGTTACACGATGCGGTCTATCGCCACCGATTCTAAGGATTCTGAACCTCGGAGAAACCATTTTCTTGTAATCTGTGAGCTCAAAATACGAGGCACCGGGCTGCCGCAAAAACTAGACCTGATCGCGAGATTTGTATTCAAACCAACGGGAGTCATGACAAAAAAGGTATTTGTGAACATAGCCTGTGCTGTTTTCGAGAAATTACTGCCAGTTGTCAAGGCGTTCAAAATTCTGGAGAGTTTGGTGAAATAAGTGAACCCGGCACATTCAGTTAGATGCATGGCTTAGTTTTTACAGATTTCGCAGCAAATTTGTTTGGTATCGAAAAACACAGGACAAAGAACTTAGTCTTGGAAATGTTGTCCATCGTTTTAGACGACCGCGCCAACTCTCACGCAATGTACGAATGCCGTCGCGAAAGATACCTGCAGGCTTCGAGACGCTAGAGTCATCGACTACGAATTTAAGCACACCGTTCAGCATTTTAGAAACTGTTTATCCACTAAGCCGTTCTGCTGCTCCTGATGATGATGATGGTGGTGGCGATGGTGATGATGATGCATTGAATGGCACAAATGGTGGTCAGATGGGGCCAAGTTTGGTGAATATGCCATGCCAACTTCAAGGGAATCTTCTGAGTCTCGTGAGCAACGTGAGGTGGTCGAGCGTTGTCATGCAGCAACAGCAACGGCATCAGCCACGACGGCAGCACCAGCATAACTTGTGTGCTTGCTTGCCCAGTAAATGGCCTTTTCTG